CCCTCCAAGACGCTGTAATACTCCTGCTAAAGTCAAGGACTCCCGGTGTATATTATGTCATAAATGTAGTGTTCGCCTAAAAGCCCAGCAGCAATTAATAGGATACAACCAGTCTCTTCAAGTGTTGCCCCTTTGAAAGAGTTTCTTTTATGTTTGTAGCTAAAATAGAGTTTTGTTGATGTACAATGCACTTCATTAGGCGACCACAATACAGTCCGCAGGTAGCCAACGATAACAAACACGGAGAAGTAAAATTATATGATTACACGATCACAAAGATATCCAACAAGAAGACCACAGTCGGCAAACTAACAACTAATTGACGATCTGCGTTTTCTTAAGGGTTACTCAAGTTTGAGAATTTGATAATAGAATTGTTCAGAATAACTTTATTATGCAAATCGTGTTCCGACACTTTTAACGCGTTTATGAATGCACCCAACGTGAAATTTCAGATGCTAATTAAGATTAGTGATGCGAATTAAAGATACGATAACAAATTTCCACTCTCTGTTTTCTGACTATAACACTTTGACTCATTAGTCCGAACAAAAGTAATAGATGTTTATGTATAACACGCAAATGGATAAAATCAGCAGTAGCGTTACGCATGATTGTTTGCAATGATGCAAAAATAGAAAAATCGTTTTAAAATGTTTAAGTGACATGTTGATGTTTAATTTAATGCAAATATATAGGACAATTAAACACATTTTGTAAATGTGAGACATGTCATAACAAGTACCGTATCTATTTTTGGAAGTTTTTATAGGTCTGTATTTAAAACTCTCAGCACATGCATAATACCGACTACCTCTTCGTAATGTGCCCCTGGAGGTAGCGGATGTTAATATGAAATATTTACGCGCAAGTAGACAGGAGACAATATATAAATGTGTGCGTGTACCATGTACACATAAAGAGCATAAATAACCGGCAATGACGTAGTATTAAATTAATTTTAATTAATTTATGTTAGCTGTATTGAGTCACTGATTAAAATGAAATGAAAGATGATAACTTATCACCTGGAACGAATTAGCAAATAAAAATAAGCCCACAACATTTGGTCGGAAGCGGTGTTTCATTCGGTTCTGCCTGCGGCGCCGGTATTTACAAAATTATATTATTCACAGTAGGTCTTTTCGATGTTTAACAATGTCATTTTTTTTATGGAGACAGTGGTTTCAGTTGCCTTTTCAAGTCGTATGTAAACTATACAGAACAATGAATAAATTGTTCTCAAGGTTTTTATGCTCCTACTGTACTATTAAGTTTAATACTGATGAAATGTCGCCTACTTATATTACGAAAATATACCAGTTATTTTTAAATGTATGTCTATAGTTCTGTCAATGCTAAAGACTTGCCTAGGTGTGAGCAAATCAAAAGCACAATATTTACGTGTTAAAAAATTGTTTTCTTTGTTATGATTTGGTGTTCAAATTTCAGACAAAATTTTATGTGAACTTATAATGTCCTTTTTCACAGCCAACATTGCACATTGGCATTGGCGTATATTTAATAGATGGATTCCGACATTTTGGTTTTTCTTGTTTCCAAGATCACAATGAATACGGTATAGAATTTACACCTAATTAACACTCAAAACTTATCATCCCCAAGAAATTAGATATCCGTCTAGGCATATTTAAATGTATTTATGCTTAGGCCTACTGATTTATTAACAGCAAAAGGAATACCGGTTACGTAACCGAAAAAACTCGTTAAAATGTCATTATATAAGATACACATGCAATTATTTAATATAATGTGTCTCTCGGATTGTGCGGCATAATTTTTGAACAAAATAAGTAGGCAATAATATATATATATATATATATATATACTGTTATATATACATATAGGCCTATATACATATATATATATACATATAAGTAGGCATTAGAATACAATGCAGGACTAATATTATTCTTATATATATATATATGTATGTATATAGGAATAATATTAGTACTGTACTGTATTGTATTGTATTCTAAGGCCTACTTATTTTTTTTTTCAAAAATCATACAATCTGAGAGAAACATTATATAAAATAATTGTATGTGTATTTCATATAATGACATTTTAACGAGTTTTTTTTTTCATGTCGACGCGTTCAAACATTGTTGTTTATGCTTCGTCTCATTTAAATTCAGTAGACGTAACGCATTTCTCATAAAAGGGAAATAAAGAAGCATCTAAATGGGATAATGTGTCATGTTATTGTTAGCATTTAAACGCGTCTAGCTACTTGCTATTTTACACATGGATATTTGACATACTGTGCTTTATTTCGTACTGTATACGTATAGCTTTCATCCGTCTGACATAACCTTATATATAATAATAATTATTATATATGAAGTAATTCATTCATTTAATCATTCATTTATTGATATATTTATTTATTCATACATACATTTATTAAACCATCGACTTAAACAACGTCACACCTTCAAACACATTCTTAAATATTAACTAAAAATTGTGTGCGCCCTTGATATTAGACGAAATGGTTTTAAAAATTGATGGGTCAACATGGTACCGGTACCTCTGCTATAGAAATTATATTAATAAACTATCGATAAACACTGAACTTACCTTCAGATACTACCGTAACGTTACTTTGTCCATACAATTAATTAGAATATGTATCATCAATGGAGTACAGTAAAGTGCCTGCTTAATGGTTCGCCCCGAATATGTTGATAAATCACAAAATACTAAATAGGCCTACGCGAATCGATTCAATCTTTAGCGCAGCCAGATCGATTATTGTTTGGTTGTCGTCGTAGCTTTACCTATCGGTTTGGTTTGATTACACCAGGGAGTTATTACACAGACTGTGGCTCACAAAGCTGTAGTTTCTTTTCCACTTAGAATTACACGATTCACCCCATTGGGCCCATTGTGCCGCAACCCGGATTACCGTATCTATCACAACACAAGAGGTTTCCAAAGTTAATATATTCGATAGTGACATACGCTGCGCATTTTGTGTGCACCACTTGATTCCATTATTAATACAGAGGCATGTATTCCATGTTGTTTCGTCATCTATTGATAAAATGTCAACATTTACTTTGCAGTAGGCCTGAGGCAGCTACAGTATTAATCAGGAAGCACAAACTCATAAAATTGAGGGGGAACGCATCCGTTTCTTTGCGATATCAAATCGTGGAGTGATTGCATTATAATATCCTTTCAATTAATTTGTTTCTCAAAGAATAGTCTAGGACAACACCGTTTAGTGTCATTGCATACATGATTTTTTAACGATGTATTTGTTGAGAAAAACAATCTTGACAAAATAAAATCCAATAAACCTATAGACAATGAATTAGCTTTTAATAGAAAATTAGCACGGAATTTTTTTTTCGCCCGTTAACAAATAATTCGTAGCCTAAGCTCGTTGCTAATGGCAAGTAACCAAGATGTTCCTTGAAAAAGCATATGAACCAGCAAACAATTATTTATTTATGTTTAATTAATTATGTCAAATTTTTAAAATTGAAAAACAATGTAATGGTTTAGTTAAATATTTGAGCAGTTTGCTGTTTACCACATGTTATGAAGATGTAGTAAAAAAAATGTTCGCTGATATTGCTACGAGTCGGAAGTACTTATGCGATGAATATCCAGAGGAATGCCTTTTTACGACCAGTCGGTGAACCGCACTGCACATTTTATTCCCTTTTACGATGTTTGCTTGCATCTCATGTACAGATATGAAGTGGATGCATTTCTACACGTCATCTATCGAGCGTTACCACAATAGTGCACGAAGCTTACATCGCCATATTTAGACAATGACACAAAATTATCTCAAGTGCCGGTGCATTTACTTAATTTGAAAGAGAATGAGGATGTGTCATGGCGCACATACACTATGACGTCACCAGATTATACTTATTAATAATGGATTTGTTCGAATTGCAGTAGGATAATGATTTTGATTTAGAATTTCATCAGGACTTTGTTCAAATAACAACTAAAGTTAGGCCTATAATAATTTGAAATGAGAAATGAACATGCTCTTGAGGTTCGAATACGATTTTCGTTTCTAATAATACATTATTCTGCTAAAATAACGATCTCTTGAGAAAAGTCTTAAGATGTAATTTACGATGACTATAAAACCGATTATTTCATGCTTTATTGCTTTACAATTTGCACTTTAGTTTGATTTATTTTACCAATACTCACCGATAGTAAATGAGAATTGCGTTGATGTTGTATCGACCGATGAAACAGGGTGGAAATGAAATACAGGCCTAATGGAAATTTGAGGAAGAATTTTAATTTTCCGGAAGAAATTTTCCTTGTTAATATAGATTCCGAAAGCAATATTTTGTTAACTTTATTAATAGGTAATGGTAAAACTTTTTGTTAACTTTTTATTAAAGGTACCGGTAAGGTTGTCTTTTGTTAATAACTTTTTGTTAACTTTTTATTAAAGGTACCCGGTAAGTTTATCTTTTGTTAACTTTTTATTAATAGGCCTAGGCCTAGGTAAATACCAAACGAATTGAAGTATGGAATATTTAAAACGGTAAGTCCTATTAGGCATATGGTGAAAGTATGAGAAGATACCCTCAAAGCTGAATAATTTCTTACATACATATATAGTTATCGAAACTTAAGAGGGTTTTATTAAGCCTAGTAGGCCCTTTACATAACTTTTATAGATATTGTTGATTTAGTGTTAGGCCTATCTGTTTGTTATTGTTATGACGAAAGTATAGAATATGCTACTTCCCTGTAAGTTGCAACACCTTGTCCAGGTAACTGTATAAACTTCTAAGTGACAAATGATAACATTGCACGCAATTTTATCGCAATATTAACTGAATATCAGGGATACGAGTACGTCTTAAACCTTGGCTGTACAAGGTTACTCACCTTACCTTTCATTTGACTATGACACATTTCATACCTACCCATATCCAACTCGATTTCATTTGTCACTTCATTAATTATTTTGTTATTTTTTCTCGCATTTCTAGCAAATCTTTCAACAACACATAAGCTAAATTAATTTGATTATAATATATGTTTCTGAAGATATTCAGATTAATTGATTTCTTTTGCATGTAACTAAGGGTAACGAAGAGACTTAATTGACAGTCAATGTAATTATGATGTAGTTACGTTTCAGGCATGATCGATTAAGCTTACACAATCGGTTAATTAGATGACCAGCAATCAAATTATTTGTAATTATGTACAGTGAACTAAATATTCATGACTGCCGTTTGGGTTATTATCAAAGATAATATGTACCGGTATAGGATAGGAAGCGTGTATGATGTAATATGATGTTAACGATGATGATAATGATAATGATGATGACGATAATGATATAATAATAAAGAATATGTATACATTTTAAAGGGCTTATGAGGTAAGGTAGCAAAAAAACAAACTTATTCTTACAGGCTTTGTTCTGCACCCTCGCCCGAATTATCATTCAAACGAACCTGGTTTTTATTTATTTTTTTTTAATATAAATTATTATATTAGTTTTAATCTTGGTCTTCATTATCTGCTCGCAATGCTGGCTTAATGTGTATTCACCGGATGATAAACATTCACCGGATGATAACCATTCTTTAGGCCTATAGAATGTTCATTTAAATTTCTACATTTAATTGTGATATTTCTGGGTTCTCTGCATATGAAAAATCAATTCTGTCCAATGCCAAGAAGAAAATTATTCAAATTGATTGAAACCCGAGCAGTTTACGTTAAAAGCTAAGTATTTGAGTTACAAACAATGTATTAAAATAAACCTAAAACGATATCTTCTTAAAAGCCATCGTCTTTTTACTTCATTTAAGCACGTTTAAGCGACCTAGTTTTTGTAAGAAGCAATTAAAGGTGATTGATGTAAAAATCTGCCTTCAAAATATTCTCATTTTCGTTTGTAAAGGCGATCGATCCTATACCTGCGTCATAGACACTGAGTGTCGATTGGACAGAGCTTCGTAAGAACAGGAATCTGACGAAGAGTCCCCATTGGGACTCAAATACGGGACCTTTCGCATACATGGCGAACACGAAGACATTGTGGTGATTCCAGCGCCAGTAGGATTTGAGTTCCTCTCATTCTTTCATGTGTCTGACTTCACGATTTTGATATAGCACTAATATCGCACGTGACTAGACTGCCAGCTATAACTTTCTTCTGTTCATATAACACTATGTATATAAATATATATCGGGTTTATGTATGTACGTATGTATCTGTCTCTTATACACATCTAGATGTGTATAAGAGACAGGTTATATATAGGATTATATAAGTGTTATTATATCAAAAACAATAAATAACAACAAATAATAAGTCTAATAATATCTACAATAGTAATTAGGCCTATAACAATACATTTAATATTCAAATAATAATGATGACCTTGCTAACGGTAAGGCCTACACGTGACAATGCATCCTGATAATATTGTTCAAAAAGGCTATCACAATACACCGCCTCCGAGGCGTTGGAAATGTCTTTTGAAATCAACTCGGAAAGCACGCTTTCTGATTTCATCAAGGAGGAGGTATGTATCATCATAGAGAAAATAGAACAGACGGATAAGACTTAAATTTAGATTTATTTACCGAAGGCCATAGTGCTACCGGTGTTAACATCTACCGTGGGTACTCTTAACGCTCTGACCTTTTCACAAGTAAATTTATATTCAACACGGTTTCTTTTTTTTTGCGAGCAGCTTAGCCTAAATAGAACTATATAAATCAACGTATCACATAGACATGATGCGATGATACTTATATCCTACTATTTATGCCTAGGCCATGGCGAGGTAGAAAAGACACAATCAAAAAAAATGCATCCAATCTATAGGTACGTGATGCTTTCGCACCCGATTTTTAACCTAATTTCCCTCCGAAGGGGTATTGTGATTGGTGACAAATTACTGACTGACTTCGGGACAATATATATTATTTGATATGGTTATATTTGACCCAGTAAAAACTGTGTAAACTATGTCATAAACGCACTGATTTCTGACACAAAATAAATATACATTATGTAAACTGCGCTTAAACGACGCAAGCTAATTATTTAATGGTACTGTTTGGCGCCTGGAAAACTATACTACTAGAAAGTTTAACAATAAAGCAATCCGTTTATTGAATAACGAATCTATTCCATGCCGTTAACCATTGCATAATGGATGACTTTATGACTTATTGCATACAGATCTATAATTATAATGAATCAAATGAATACGAAGATCGCAACGTCAACCATCGTTACCACGTCGTCGAACAGCATCCGCATAGGCTTAGTCGTCATCATCATCATCATCATTGAATCATCACCCTCACTACCACTACCATCATCGTCCCATCATCGTCATCATTATCAATCATCATACTTATTAACATCATCATCTCATCATCATCATCATAATTATTATCAACATCATCATTGATACCATGTACACATTAACATTGCAAACTAGGCGATCTAATTATGAATAATATATTAATATATATTATAATAATAATACTATTTACTCACAACGCTTAAAAACTATGAACTATGGAAAACGGTGAGTATACGAATCAGTATTCTAAACAGTTGCAATCGATGGAAAAGTGCTGGCCATAATGTGTAAACCAGTACATTTCTCAAGCACACATTACATACTAAAGCCTACATAACATTAGATAAGTCAGCAATCATGTGCTTTGACAGTACAACAATGTTTTTCAAAGCAACCGATTTCAGACTCCTACCGTCGCTGTCGCCAACCTTATTGCTTACTATTACAACGCAAACGTATTAATATCATATTAGTGTTAAAGTCAACTTATGATGTCCGTGGTCTTTAAAGATATTCTTGACGTCGGATCTCTTTGAAGGCTTAGCAGTATATTGAGAATACGATATTTAATTAGGCGACCAAGTCTAGCTAGCCTCCGGAGGTTTTGTCAAACAATGTTATAACAGGTAGAAATTATTAACCGTTGATGAAGCGGGTAACCTGTGGGTCCTTTGCGCGAAGCAAATCTGCACTATTTAGTGTTTAGCAAATCGTACTTAATCACTCAGACGATGCCGATCAAAAAGCTAGCAATTTGCAGGCTCTAGATTGCCCTGCTGACTACGATATTGGTTACAAAGAAAACATAATCTTTCATTATTATTACTATTATTATTATTATTATTCGTATATTTCTTATTATTGTTATTGTTTATAGTTATTTAAATATTCACCATATTTTGAGTGATTTTGATATTTTGCAGAACTAGCCTCAAGAC